TTCCTAAATATGACAGCTCAGTCTGTGGGAGGGATGGCTGTTGTTCCTACTATGGCGAGACTCTGGGGTGGTGGGGTCCTCTGTTAACCTGGGGGTCATGAGTCTCAAAGCAGGGGCGTCTCCTGTCGACAGCTGGCTGTGGACGGCTCCAGTGTTGTTTGTTTGCAGACTCATTCATGCAGAGTTGAAGCTGGACTTTAAAGGTTAAAATGCCTTTTTGTTATGTCTTAATTTTATGCTTTCCCAGTTAGTAAATTTGAAGTGAAATGCCTTATCAACCTCTTCTATAACCTGGTGGGAGAAGTGATGGAGCGACAGGGTGTGGTCATCGGGCTGGACCGCAACGCCTTTCGGAACATCCTGCATATGACGTTTGGGATGACAGATGACATGATCATGGACAGGGGTGAGCAGATGCCAGCATCTTGATGGGCCATATCTAGCCGTAACTGAGGAAAATGGTTTGGAGTTCAGGCAAACTCTGGGAGGGACGCTTCATGTTCTGTGATCCCAATTCCACTTGAACATAAAAATTTAATTTTCATATTCGTAGGGAAGAAGATAGTGACCATTCTTTTTGTGTATTTAAGAAGAGGACAAAGTCAGCCTGAATAACTAGGTTTCCTTTACCTTATATCAGAAAACCCCAAACATTTCTATTTCTACTTAGTAAATAGAATAATATAAAAAGATAGTTTTAAAAGGACACTTAAATTTCCTTATACCATTGAGAGTATTTCAGTAAAAATCAAGATATAGCCTGTCATGTAGTAGCATTACTTTCATTGAGTAACAAAAATATAAAATTATACATTTCATGTTAACATACCAACATCTAGTATAACAACTTGTTTATATGTTAATTGTTGATTCATGTCTTTATATTCAGTTTGCTTGTTCTTATGAAGTATGAAGGGAGAATGTAAAAGTTTAGGTGAAGGAGTTTTCCAGTGTTATGACGTCTCAGTTTCCTGTTTCGTCAAATGAGAACATGGGACCACATGGTCCTGAAGTTTCACTTAAACATTAAGAGTGAGCAGTGTGGTGCAGGCCCTCACTGAGAATACAAGCTCAGCACAAGTGTCATGTTGTATGTCTCTCTCTTTTTTTAGTTTTCCGAGGGTTTGATAAAGACAACGATGGTTGCATAAGTGTAACAGAGTGGGTTTATGGATTATCAGTGTTTCTTCGAGGAACTCTGGAAGAAAAAATGAAATGTAAGATTTCATGTCATCCTACTGGTTTGTACTTTATGATAAGCAGGTGCAAAGAATGAATCAGTGTGGTGGGTTTGTCTGTCATTTGCTTGATTTGATCTCACATTGACTTCATGTAGGGAGCAAATTCAAGTCAATAATAAGAGTGGAAAAAAGTAATAAACAGACAAAGCAGGACACTCTAAGGAGGAATCATGCCAAGCAAGACCACATAAGCATGTAGCACCCATGCTAACCATGTATGCATGCCTTTAGGTATGAAAGTATTGAGTATTTTACATATTTTGTTACTTGAATTATAATCATAAAAGTCAAAAACATTGATTCAAGTTTCTGATTCTTAGTTAATTCCTAATTCACCCCCAGTGAACTCTGTTTAAGAGGCACATTTCAATCAGTTTTCCAAGGTTTTCAAGATGAAATTGTCAACTTGTTGTTCCCTGGCCTGCTCTTTGTAGGTAAGTGTAAGAAACCTTTCTAGAACTGTTGAGTATATTCAGTAAGTGGACGTTAAGCACCTATTATGGAAATTGATTGCTTTGAGTCCTGGGGCTTGATAAAGAGTATCACCCTAGAGCCCTGGGCCTTGAAAACCATCAGAGCAAATGCTGTCTTGCTAATGACAGCACTTTCGTATTGGTTGTTTTTTTAAGATTGCTTTGAAGTGTTTGACTTGAACGGGGACAGCTTCATCTCCAAGGAGGAGATGTTCCACATGCTGAAGAACAGCCTCCTGAAGCAGCCGTCTGAGGAAGACCCTGACGAAGGGATCAAGGACTTGGTGGAGATCACACTGAAGAAAATGGTGAGATGTATCATTCAGGCTTTTCTACTGAAATTCACTTCCCAGGTGGCATTCATGGTAAAGAACCTGCCTGCCAGTGCAGGACACATAAGAGACATGGGTTCAATCCCTGGGTGGGGAAGATCCACTGGAGAAGAGAATGGCAACCCACTCCAGTATTCTTGCCTGCAGAATCCCATGGACAGAAGAGCATGAAGGGCTATAGTCCATAGGGTTGCAAAGAGTCAAACACAACTGAGCAATTTAGCATGCACTGAAATTCACAGGCTAGAGATGGGATATAAATAAGAATTCAAATTATGGAAACTCTTTTCCTGGGCTTCTCTGATGGCTCAGTGGTAAAGAATCCACCTGCCAATGCAGGAGATCCAGGTTCAATCCCTGAATCAAGAAGATCCCCTGGAAAAGGAAATGGCAGCCCACTCCAGTATTCTTGCCTGGGAAATGCCATGTACAGAGGAGCCTGGTGAGTTTTAGTCCATGGGGACACAAAGAGTCTGACACAACTTAGCAACTAAACAAGAATCAGTTTCCTGCCTGGTGAAAGAAAGCTCCAGCTTGTTCTCTTTCACCATAGTATTAAAGGATCTTTTCCATTTCATCACTTAGTCTTTTACTTTTCTAACATCTTTCTTTGAACCATGGACCACGAGAAGATAGTGTGTGCCTGTGATCAGTGTTTCCATGTTAACTGCCGCGTGGCGGTTGCCCCCAGGACCATGATCACGATGGGAAGCTGTCTTTCGCGGACTATGAGCAGGCCGTGAGGGAGGAGACCCTTCTACTGGAAGCGTTTGGGCCATGTCTCCCTGACCCAAAGGTAACAACGTGTGTTCATAGAACAGAGACCAAAACATCCTATAGGAGCAGCAGCCCAGGACTCCCTGGTTTGGCAAGTGATCAGATGAGTCACATTCACCCACAGAGGACAGCTTCTAAAAGAAAAAGGTGGCCAAGAAATAGGGCTGGTCCATGTCTTTGAACTCGTGTAGTCCGCTGTGACTTTTTCATCCACTAACTTGTTGGTTCCTGTAAGAAATTATTATTGAAGCGTAATGTGGGCCAGAAACCCAGATGAAAAACTCTAGGGCTGCACTCCAGAGTAGGGGAAAAAACATGAAAATGATTACATGATAATAATTATTATTATACCAGTGTTGCAGTAATGCCAATCAGTACCATGAGCAGTGCTGGCAGCCCTGTGTGGCCTCACTTTTCCCCTGACAACCCCATGAAGTTGGCAGTATCATTGTCCTCATTTTACGGATGAGGAAACCTAGGCTCAGAGAGTGTAGGCCACTTGCTGGGGTTCACTGATCATGGGTTACAGAGTCCCCGGGACCCAGGTGCTGGGGCTCAGAGGGGCATGTGTGGTCAAGAGGGGACATGGAAACTGCTGCAGGGAGTTGGGTGGACAGCTGGAGGGAAAAGGCGGGCTCGCGGGTCTTGTGGACCCAGTGGTCAACCAGATGCACAGGGGCAGCAGGGCCCACACAGAGGGAGTGTCATGTGTGAGAGGTAAAGGGGGACAGTATCAGAAGAGCATCTGGAGTCATGAGGCTGACAATGAGCCTGGAGGACACAGAAGGGCCCAGTGCATGGAGCTCGGAGTTTGGGCTTTGTCTTGAAGGTCATGAGGATCTGTTGAAAGGCGTCAGGCAGGTGGAGTGATGCAGTACATGAATATTGCCATATTTCCACCCCGGTCTCTCATCTGTATCTGACACCAGCTGGGCTCGTGTCTTACTCGACCTTGCCCCTTCCCCACCCCCAGGTCTCCCTCCAGCATCTCTGCTGCCACCACAGCCTGGCTGTCCCATGATGAGCCCTCTGGGATCCCCAGGGTGCCTGCCCTCCTGCAGCCCCTGGTTCTGGCCTGTGAACCAGCACCTGGTTCTGGTTCTAAGCCTATGGACAGGGGCTCCTGGGAGCCAGGTCTCGCCCTCCTGGTGGTCCCTGAACCGGCGCTGGGCTAGAGCACAGTCAGCACCTGAGAATGAGCACACAGCCCATCCCAGGTCCCCACCTCACGCTCCTCATCACTGCCAGGCTCTTTGGACGTTAGGCAGACACACAGAACACTTCTTGTTAGTCTGTACTAATTTGAGCACTTTCATTTTACAGAGCCAGAAAGAATTTGAAGCCCAAGTATTCAAAGATCCAAATGAATTCAGTGAGGTGTGAATTCCTAAATGTCTTCTCAAGTGAGTAAAAAGGGAGGCTCGCCCATACTGTGTATTCTTCCTGCTTAGCCTGGAAGGTGCGGGCGAATTTGGTGAATTGTGTGTTTGAGGGGGAATGGGTCAGGGTTGACTAACATACGTCGTCACCTTTGATGTAAGATCAAGTAAGACAGACGTAGACACAGATTTCCTTATTAGCTGTGGTTGGGTTTGGCCCAATGGATTATCGCTGCAGAGAGGAGTTACCACCTAGACCATCTGTTGACACAAACTGTCATAAAATATCTCCATGAATGAAACAATGATAATAATTATTATTATACCAGTGTTGCAGTAATGCCAATCAGTACCATGAGCAGTGCTGGCAGCCCTGTGTGGCCTCACTTTTCCCCTGACAACCCCATGAAGTTGGCAGTATCATTGTCCTCATTTTACGGATGAGGAAACCTAGGCTCAGAGAGTGTAGGCCACTTGCTGGGGTTCACTGATCATGGGTTACAGAGTCCCCGGGACCCAGGTGCTGGGGCTCAGAGGGGCATGTGTGGTCAAGAGGGGACATGGAAACTGCTGCAGGGAGTTGGGTGGACAGCTGGAGGGAAAAGGCGGGCTCGCGGGTCTTGTGGACCCAGTGGTCAACCAGATGCACAGGGGCAGCAGGGCCCACACAGAGGGAGTGTCATGTGTGAGAGGTAAAGGGGGACAGTATCAGAAGAGCATCTGGAGTCATGAGGCTGACAATGAGCCTGGAGGACACAGAAGGGCCCAGTGCATGGAGCTCAGAGTTTGGGCTTTGTCTTGAAGGTCATGAGGATCTGTTGAAAGGCGTCAGGCAGGTGGAGTGATGCAGTACATGAATATTGCCATATTTCCACCCCGGTCTCTCATCTGTATCTGACACCAGCTGGGCTCGTGTCTTACTCGACCTTGCCCCTTCCCCACCCCCAGGTCTCCCTCCAGCATCTCTGCTGCCACCACAGCCTGGCTGTCCCATGATGAGCCCTCTGGGATCCCCAGGGTGCCTGCCCTCCTGCAGCCCCTGGTTCTGGCCTGTGAACCAGCACCTGGTTCTGGTTCTAAGCCTATGGACAGGGGCTCCTGGGAGCCAGGTCTCGCCCTCCTGGTGGTCCCTGAACCGGCGCTGGGCTAGAGCACAGTCAGCACCTGAGAATGAGCACACAGCCCATCCCAGGTCCCCACCTCACGCTCCTCATCACTGCCAGGCTCTTTGGACGTTAGGCAGACACACAGAACACTTCTTGTTAGTCTGTACTAATTTGAGCACTTTCATTTTACAGAGCCAGAAAGAATTTGAAGCCCAAGTATTCAAAGATCCAAATGAATTCAGTGAGGTGTGAATTCCTAAATGTCTTCTCAAGTGAGTAAAAAGGGAGGCTCACCCATACTGTGTATTCTTCCTGCTTAGCCTGGAAGGTGCGGGCAAATTTGGTGAATTGTGTGTTTGAGGGGGAATGGGTCAGGGTTGACTAACATACATCGTCACCTTTGATGTAAGATCAAGTAAGACAGACGTAGACACAGATTTCCTTATTAGCTGTGGTTGGGTTTGGCCCAATGGATTATCGCTGCAGAGAGGAGTTACCACCTAGACCATCTGTTGACACAAACTGTCATAAAATATCTCCATGAATGAAACAAATAGAGAGAGCGTATAATTGAGATGTTTTCTTCATGACGGAAAGATGGTGGGCACACATCTGAACATCACTGAAACTACTGAATTCCCGTCGGAGCAATCAGTAACCAAGATAGCTTCCAAAGAACGATGATTCCGGTGTTCAGCCTTGAGACACCTTCCTGCTGTGCCCTGGGAGACAGTCAGAGACACAGGGCCTGTTTTCATATGCTCTGTGTTGCTGTCTGAAGTGCCTGAGGGCTCAGCCTACTGCCCAGAGGGGCCCCGAGCAAACACCAGGGACAGACAGCACCACGAGGCTGACCCATCTGTGGGTGGGCAGGGGTGGGGCATGCTCCTCCCTGGGTCTGAGGTGAGGTCTGGGTGTGAGTCAGCCCGGACGCCCCACTTCTGGTCAGATTCAAAGCCCCCACTCTGTTCTGCCCCCCTGGGTCTCCCCCTGGACCCCACTGTTAGTCCACATCACCCCACCTGGGATGCCTCTTGTGCAGCCCCTCATCCGGGGCCACGTCATCACATGTGCCCGCCAGCCGGGTATCCCCAAAGCCGGCCTTGCCTTCCCTTGCCCCCGTTTCCAGTGGGTGCTGAGGGCATCGGACGCAGCTCGAGAAAGACGGGCTCATTCTGCTGAATGAGAACTCCAGGGCAGCCGCGGGGATGTCAAGTGGGAACCCCTGGTCCACGCGCAGACACGTAAAGGCCACATGGCCTATCAAATTCCCCTTGTTACTGCATATACTTTATTACATTTTAGCAAAAGAATACCTAGTGTTAAAAATGAAGTGCTGTAAATGAGTGGAATATCCAATTTCATGAAATAGAAGACATTTTACTGTCCAAATGTTTTCTTAACGTTTTGGATTCTCACACAGATGGACTTTGATACAATTTTTCTGTCTTGAGTTGGTATATAAAAAATGCAACACAATATGCTTGTAATTTTTATTGTTTTTTCAATTACAAATAATAATCACTGAAAAATATTTCAGAAGTTTAAGAAATTTTAAGATGAAACAAATATTAATATTCTGGTATAGACTCTCTCAGGCTTCCTTAAGGCCTCTGTGAGGACACCTACATTTTTGCACAGAGTCACCCATGTTTTTAGGGGATGGCACTGAACCTCCTCTTTTAAGCTGCTTTTTTATGAACCACTGTGTCAGGAACGTTCCCTCGGGTCAGGAAATCCTCGGGTCCAGAGCCATCCTGGGAGGCTCTTTCCCTGCCCTTCACAATTTGAATGTTGCCACGTTTGCTGTTATGAATAATTCTCCAAATGAACTGTCCTCGGAGATAAATCTCCTCACAAGCTTCATCGCTTCCTCACTTGGGGTGACTTTGTGAGTAGGAGTGCTGGCTTCCAGGCCTGCATCTCTGGAGATTTCTGGCACGTGTGACTACACGGTCCCGGGAAGGCCGGCAGGGCAGGCGTGTGAGGACCAACCCTGCCCTGTGCCACACTATTTACTTCTTTGCCAGCATGTGGGCCATAATCGACTGTGATTTTAATGGATCATGCAAAGCCCTGATTTTATACATCTGTCCCTGAACCTTTCCCTGTAGGTCAACCTCCACGTGAATAACCCTGTTTTATTACTTGACTTCATTTAAAACTAAAAAGCCTTTAAAACCCTTGTGGTGGGACTTGAGGGTGGGGCACCCAAGGGAAGCGGCTGGAGCCTCCCCACGGCCCAGGACATGCTGGGTCCCACGCCTCTGCCCTATCCTTTCCTCCGGTGATTTCTGTAGATGTTTAGATTCTCTGTGGCAGCTCGTGAATGACTTTAGCCCCGAGGGTTCACTCAACTTCACGGCAGGTCCTCCGAGCACACAAGTCCCCCTGAGGACCAGCCTCTCCTCCTGCTCCACGTGGGCCCCGCCGCCTCCCCACCTCCTCCTTTCAGGCTCAGCGGGGCTCAGCACTGCGAGTGCCCCAGGGTGGCCAGGTTGGGGCTGCGGGGAACAGTTGTAACCCGGAGCCTTCCTCCCACTGGCTCCTCAACACGCTCCCCCCTCCACGCCCTGGGAGGCCCCTCTGGGAGGGCTGCACAGCCCCTGAGCAGCACAGAGAGACTCTGTTTGGGAAACAAGTAACTTTTTTTTTTTTTCAGCCACAGGATTTAAAAGCTACCACTGAAAACTGGTAGTCCTGCATTCTTAACCTGCAAATATCTTTGGGAACAAGATTGCACTTGTGAGAAGCCAAGCCTGCAATTGCCTGCATCATAAAATCATCCAAAACATTCATGAGTCCCACCTCGGGCTAAGCTGGCAGGGGCGGGGGAGGTGGGTAACCCAGCCTAACTCAGTCCCCTGCCCGGTCCGCAGTGTAGACGAAGGCTCTGCACCCTGCGACAGCCCCATGACGCCCCTGCTGTCCCCCTCTGCTGGAGTCCCTCCTCCCCACCCCAGCAAGAGTGCTGTCGTGGAGATGGTTCAAGGGAATTCCCATCACACAGGCTCAGAAACTGTACCGATAGCCCCTCTAGAGAAGGTTCCTCCGAGCAGCCCTTCTCAGCATCCCTGACCTCCCAGTCGTCAGGGTTCACATGCAGCTACCAGGGAAAGGAACAGACATGCACCCCAGATCATGTGTTGGTTATGATGCACTAACTGTGCAACTGCCTGGTGATACCCAGAAAGTGAAGAAGTCACCTGTGTCCCCCTCCTGGGGGACCACCCTTCCCTCTGGGTGGAGCACATGACCTCCTGAAGTGGCTCCTGTCTGGTCACCAGTGAAGGAGGAGCCGACCCTGAACACATCCCGGAACCAGAATCGGCCCCTAGACGCCAGCTTTCTGGCAGAGGAAAGGGCAGCCATGGTGGGCCCAGCCCAGGAGACTAGAGAGTCCCATCCCAGCCGCATGGGGATACACCGTTCCAGGTCCCGTCATCCTAAGTGTGGTTTCCTGTGGCCCAAGCCTCCCACCATATCTGCCAGGAAAACATTCCTCCCCAAGACCCGCATCTTCTTGTCTGCCTGTTCCTCCTGCTGCCCTGCCTGCCCATCCGGCCTAGGATGGACCCGCTGGCCCTGGCATCTCCACGGGAGAGACAGTCCACCTGGAAGGTGTCCGAGGAAACCAGGTGAGGTCCCAGCCATCCTGCCCTCGGCCTGTGCACACCGTCTCCTGTCCCCACCCCAGGTCTCGATGTAGACAATGCTCGGGGTGTCAGAGCCGGGACAGAAAGCCAGGTTTGGAGCAAGGCCCCAGGCAGGCCAGGGGTGGGCACGTCCTCCCCACAGTGGTGTTTTGAGCGGAGCCACTGCCTCCTGGTGGGGCAGTTAGCCCGGAGCTCAGGACACGGCTGGGCCCCACCCTGCCACAAGGAGGCTGTGCGGAGAGGTTGTGGGGGGATGCTGGAAGTCCTTCCCGGGGAGGGGGAGCTGGACCCTCACACAGAGGACAGAGCGGTGCCAGACACAGACTTCCATGTGGAGAAGAAGCAGAGGCCACGTGATCCTGCAGCACACACAGAAGTGACCATGTGGCCCTTACAGAGGCAGGGACCCAGCCCAAGGACCCAGCATGGGGCGGGGGCATGGGTTTGCTCCAGGCCCCTCCACCTCAGTCCAGCTCTGACTGCCTCACACAGGCCACATGGACTTGCAGTCCAACATAAGTGAAAAGTGATTTGTGAGCTGGTGGGGACTAGAATACACACCATCCATCAGGGCTGCGCGGAGAAGTTGTGGTCACAGTGGGGCAGTCACATATTCTCAGCCCATAACGTTGTTATTGAATTGCTAAGTCCAGTCTGAATCTTTGCAACCCCAGGGGCTTTAGCCCACCAGGCTCCTCTCTCCATGGAATTCTCCAGGCGAGAATACTAGAGTGGGTATCCATTCCCTTCTCCAGGGGATCTTCCTGACCCAGGGAATCAAACCCACGTCTCCTGCATTGGCAGGCAGATTCTTTACCAAAGAGCCCCCAAGGAAGCCCCATAGGCTATAAACACTCTACAAAATGTGTTTCATATAAAATGGGAAAACACCTACACTCGCTGCCTCCTCTCATAGGGACTTTGAGAATGAGTGAGAATAAAGTTTATGATGCCATTCTGTAAACTGTGAAGTGTGACAGAAATCCAAGATAAATAGGGGTACACCGTAGACGTGAGTGTCTGGGGCAGGCAATGTCCTCACCAGGATCTCGTAGCTGATGAATAAATAAGAACACAGCGGACTTGACTTGAGGATCCAGCTCTGGGTCCTCCCCTTGACAAGTGTGGAGCGTCGTCTGAGTGGCGGAGCTGAAGTCTTGTGAGGGGTTCCCTAGAACTCCTTCAGTCATCTAGTGTATTTAAAGAAATGGCACTCATGAAGCTAGGATAAAGTTCCAAAGAAAGTATCACTAGGATTTTCACAAATGTGACACTCTTGGGATCTGTTTTTGTGAAGTTCCCCCCTGTTAACCCACAAATGCATCCTCCCCACAGACTCACAGAAACACACAGTAGTTTATTCTGCTTATGAAACTCACTCGAGTTCCCTGAAACCCCATGAACAATATGAAAAGGCAAAAAAATATGACAGTGAAAGATGAGCCCCACAAGTCATAGGTGTCCAATATGCTACTGGAGAAGAGTGGAGAAATAGCTCCAAAAGGAATGAAGAGGCTGAGCCAAAGGAGAAACAATGCCCAGTTGTGGATGTGTCTGGTGATAAAAGTACAGTCCGATGCTGTAAAGAACAATATTGCATAGGAACCTGGAACGTCAGGTCCGTGAATCAAGTAAATTGGATATGGTCAAACAGGAGATGGCAAGAGTGAACATCAACATTTTAGGAATCAGTGAACTAAAATGGACCTTAATGGACGAATTTAATTCAGACAACCATTACATCTCACTCATCATGACCCTGCTAATCCTGAAGCCACTGGTGCTATCCCACTGGGTCCTGTCAACCCCACTCGAGGCTCCAGTGCTTCTGGCACTGGCTCTTGAGTGCTGAAATAGAAATCAGTAGGATACAGGGTTTGCATGGAAGCACAGGCGTCTGAGGGCTACTGAGCAAACAGCTGCATCCAGGTTATGTGAGCTCCAACCAGTGCAGTCCACACTTGGGTGTGCCTGCCATGTTCCTGAATGGGACACTGTGAATTTGACTAAGTGAAGAACAAGCTTCTTGCCTCTTTGAATTTCTAAACATGACCTGCTGCTGATTTTGACATGTGTAAATGCAGAAGAGCACAGCGACCTCAGGAAACCAGGGTCAGTTGACGGCCAGGAAGGGTGGACACCTCCTTCTTGCCAAGGGCACCATCCTGTTTGGGTCTGTGCAGAGGCCCTGGTGTGCAGAGTCTGCGGAGCAGAGGCCAGGGGACTGGAGCCCCAGGGAGTGCCCACCTGCAGGAGTACACGGTGGGGGGAGGGGGAGGGGAGGACCAAGAGAAGCGGGAGGGGGAAGGGATGATGAGGTAGCAAGAAAGAGATGTTCTGACTGCCAGCATGGTTTTTAAATCGTGAATTTTTTTTAAGATAACAGGTAAGATGGAGAGTTAAGAGCGGCACTCGCTCCTGTCCGCCGTCAGGTAGGAAATCCTGGCCGCGCAGTCTGGCCTCCGCGGGCACAGCAGGATGTGAGCAGGCTGGGGCCTGCAGCCCAGCGCCAGGTATGCAGCCCAAGGAGGGCGCGCCCACGGCAGGTGCAGCTCGGCCAGCGCCCGCGGCCCCGGGACAGGAGCCCTGCAGGTGCGGTCGGGGCACGCCCGAGTCTGCAGAGCCACGCGGCGCCCTCCGCCTGCAGGTCCCGGGGTGCAATGGGGCGGGGCCCCGGGGGGTGGGCGGGGGAGGGTCTTGGAGCTGGCGGCTCGGGTGACGCCCACGGGCAGCTCCGGGAGGGGGTGTGGGCAGAGGGGGTTCCTGGGGAATCCTCTCTGCAGAGGCCTCGCTGGACACAGCGCAGCCACACCCCTGCCTGCATTCTTGGCACCCACAGCCCCCCTTCCCCCGGGGCAGCCGCTCCGACCGTGCGCCCTGCCTGGACCTGCTGCTGCGGGGGAGGAAGGCCGGCGGTCACGTCCCTCAGGTGCTGCCGGGGCGAACAGTCACAGAAAGTCAGAGTCAGGATGTTCTGGGACTCAGGCCCCAGAGGTTGTGATCCGAGGCTGGGCGCCTGCAGCCCGCGGGGCCTCAGGCGGTGCAGGCCCGAGTCTGGGGGCAGGGGAGGGGACGGGTGCTGCTCAGCCCCGCCTCTGAACTGCACCCCCCTAGCCCCACCCTGCCTCCCCAGGGTCAGCAGGCTTGCTTCTGGTACTGCCCCTCTGCACGCCCCGCCGCCGGGGACCCGCAGGAGGGTGGGCTCTGCCAGGCGCCCAGGCCCCTCTGGGCCTCACACCGCGTTCCCGTTGTGGGTGACCCAGATGCCCACCTGCAGGGTGTGGAGACACAGGAAGGGACAGACGGAGAGGGGCACCTGGAGGGCACCCGGCTCAGAAGAGACACTCCATCCAAGTCAGCCCCAGACTCAGTCATCCAGACGGCCTCCAGTGAAGACCCGGTGCTCTGGCCATGTGTCAAGGACTCGGAACCGTAGGTGCTCAGATGGCAGTGAGACAGGGCTCCCTGGCGCCCCTCAGCAGGCAGACTCACTCACAGGGCCCTCAAGGGACAGAGTGTCCAGGGGGTCCCTGAAGGCGCTGAAGTGCCATGTCCTTGGACTCAAGGGAAAACAGCACAGCTTGTAGTGACACAGGGACACTATGGTGATGTGGGGCACAGTGACACAGGGATGCCCTGGTCACACGGGGACACTATGGTGACATGGTGATATGGGGACACTATGGTGACGTGGGGCACAGTGACACGGGGATGCTTTGGTCACACGGGGACACTATGGTGACGTGGGGCGCAGTGACACAGGGATGCTGTGATCACACGGGAACACTATGGTGACATGGTGATATGGGGACACTATGGTGATGTGGGACACAGTGACACAGGGATGCTATGGTCACACGGGGACAGTATGATGAATCAAGACACAGGGAGCATGCTCTCTTGCCCAGACTCCCTCCTCAGCACCAAGTCCCAGGAGCTCACAGGTGACAGGTGAGGCCCAGGGACAACATCCTGCACCTGCCTCTGACCTTGGACACTGTCCCTGCTGTGTGGTCAGAACGCTTGTCTCTGGTGCCGCTGTGTGCTGTGGTTGTATCTGCGTATAGGTACATTTGTGCTCACACACACACACACATATACGCATTCACACACACACACTCTCAGTCACACATACTCTCTCACACACACACTCTCACACACATACACTCTCACACAGTCACACATACTCACACACACACAACTCACATACATACACAACTCAAACACATGCTCATACTCATACACACTCACAGTCACATTCACATAGTCACTCTCACCACACACAAAGACATGCTCTCACACACTCACACACTCACACAACACATATACTCACTCTCATATATATACACACTCTCAGACACACACACACTCATATACACTCACACTCACAACTCACACACTCAGCCTCACACACTCTCACACACACTCATACACACTCACACTCACAACTCACACACTCTCACACACACACACACACTCTCACCCTCACACACACACACTCTCACACACCCTCACACATACACATACACACAGACTGCCTCCCTCTGCCTCAGGCGCCCTTGCCATCAGCTCCCCCTGCACTGCCCTCCCCTGCCAGTCTTTGCTGGCACAGGTGTGAGCACAGGTGTCCCCTCTCAAGAGAGGGTGAGGGCAAGGGGCACACAGCCTTGGGGCCCGGGGGCACCCCACAGCCATGGCTCGCTTCCCTGGGATGGAGGCGGCCAAGCCTGAGAGCACCTGGGGCTGCAGGCAGAGAGCATGGAAGAGCCAACCGGCTCAGGAAACACAGGGTCATCCCAGGAGGTCCTGTAATCCCCTCTACCTGGAAGAATCTGCAGCCCAGAAAGGTGTGAAGGGATGGGGGCACAGCCTGCTGTGGGTTTCTCAGCACCCTCTCCCGGTCACTCTGAACAAGCCTGTTCCTGCAACTGCCTCTCAGAGCTGGAAAAATTACTACAGTGTTCAAAGTCCAGGAGCAAACAGCACTTGATTTTACAGAAAGCTTGGCATTGGCTCTGATAGAAACACATGACTAGCGACCTCCTCCAAGGAGCCTTCCAGCCTCAGCAAAGCCCAGTTTCCCTGATGACTGTTGTTCCCTCCTCCAAGGTCACCCCTGGGGTCTGCACAGTTACAACCCACGGGCATCGCGGTCAGTTTGCTCCTGAGAAACCCTGATAAGCAGAGGAGGGCAGCAGAGGGACGGGGCTGAGGTCACCTGGGCCATGTAGGAGGGGGAGGTGGGGAGCCTGCCTCGTCCCATCAGGTAGGAAATCCTGGCCGTGCAGTCTGGCCTCCGCAGGCACAGCAGGATGTGAGCAGGCCGGGGCCTGCAGCCCAGCGCCAGGTATGCAGCCCAAGGAGGGCACGCCCACGGCAGGTGCAGCTCGGCCAGCGCCCGCGGCCCCAGGACAGGAGCCCTGCAGGTGCAGTCGGGGCACGCCCGAGTCTGCAGAGCCAAACGGCGCCCCAGTCTCTGAGCGCCCTTGGTCTGCAGGTCCCAGGGTGCAGCAGGGGCAGGCTCCAGGAGGCCCAGGATCGGGCGGCTAGGGTGACACCCATGGGCACCTCTGGGAGTGGGTGTGAGTCAAGGGGGTTCCCAGGGAACCCTCTCTGCAGAGGTCTTGCTGGACACGCAGTGCTGCCCCTCTGCCCCCACACCAGCACCCTGTCTGTCCACCCTTGGCCATCCCTGGGCACATGGCTCTCTGAGCCTCCAGCTGCCACCTGAGTCTCCTTGGCAGGTTCACACCCACCATGGGGAGGGGATCCGGTTCTTTGCTGAAGGACTGCCTGGCCCCCTGGGAGGGCTCCCCCTCCCTAATATGACCTCAGAAACCAGACAGGGTCCCCGGGTCCTGACACACATTCTTCCTCTGCTTCCTCCAAAGGCCTGGATCCTCAGACTGGATTCGCTGTTTCTATCAGTTGCATTGTGAGATAGGAGACGTGGCACTAAGCTAAGGGTTGGAGTCCTGGAGGACAGCGTTTCATCAGCCCTCCCATTATTGCAGCCATGCTAAGACCAACCCTCCTCACCCCAAGGGAAGCGGGCTCAGCACAGCCTCCATCACCCTGCTGCCAGCCTCTGCTTTGTTCTCAGTTTCTATTTACTTGTCTTGTGGTTTTTTTCATTCTACACAAACATAGGTCCATAAACACATAGGTCTGGCCACTTTTACTCACTCTAGTTCCCTGCCTTTGCACACACTTGGCACTTAATAAATGTTTCCTGGGTGAGTTGATGACTGAATCCCAAGGCTGGGTCGTGGGAAAACCCCTTTCTGTTTTAGTCTGTGCACCCAGGGCAATGTTGACTTCTGAGAAAGCTGTCAGGCCACAGCACATGCCCAATAGCACAAAGTGGGAAGATCAGCTCTCTAAGGCCCTGTCTGCCTGCAACTCACCATGAGACCAGGAGCCTGACCAGCAGTTCACCCACCCATCATTTCAGGGGCATCAGTGTTGACCTTTTATGTTGCTCACCAAAAAAATTAAAATGTCCCTCTGAGACAAAGAACGGTGAACCAGGGCTACTTGAGTATCTGGAAAGTCACTGACATGAGTAGGTCTCTGTCCACAGCTGATTCGGCATCTTTACTTGAAGTTCAGAGAGTAAATTTGTCGCATCAAATATGTCTTCAAAAAGGGAGCAGAAGTAAACAGACTCTTTTTGAAGCACGGAGTAAGTATGGTTGGAGTTCAATACACAGTGTCCTGCTGAGGAGGCTAGATCAAGCCAAGACAATCTTCTAAGAAACTGACATCCTTATGAAACTTAAACGTCAGATATTTTCTGATTCCTGAGTTGAGTCCCTGAAGATGGGCATTGCAGGATTCCACCCAGACCGGGGTGAAATTATAAAACTGAGGGTTTCAAAACTCACATGTTTTCAGCACATGGCTAGCCACCGAGATCTTAACTTTTAAAGGCTGAAAATGTGCAGGTCAACAAGGTAAAAAACTACCTGGGGAAGTCACGCGTCCCGAGAAGTCTCTCTTCTCCCACAGCTATGTGTTAACAGGCTCAGAAACAGGCACCGTCTGGGCCTGTTCGAAAGTGTTCTGGCAACCTGATGCTTCCAAGAGGCTGCCCGGCTTCCTGGCTCGACGTTACCAGGATGAGGAGCCCCGGAGATGACACCCCTGCTGTCTGCACGGCCTTATACCTCCTCCCCCTCCCTTCCCGATGGTCCACCACCCGCAGACCTCCCCAGTCTCTGGTGAGAGTTCAGCCCCAACCCCTGCCCTGCCCCCTCCTCAGCCGATTCCCCTGGGCCCTGGGCCCATAGTTCACTGCAATGCCCCTGTCTGGAGGGGGACCATCCCCAGTCACGTGATGGATGCATTACGACTGTTAGACCAGACTCGTCGACTCCACGGGGGACTCTACTGATTCCCCAAAGATCCCAGAATTCAGATCTCCTGCCCTGAGAATGACAGACATCCATCTCTGTCAGCCCTCCGGGAGCAGCCACACCACTGCTTGGCCGCCGCAGCACCCCCTCCTCCAGAACCTTCCATTCAACTGCTCCACCCTCCAGACACGGCCTTCTGAGTGGCTGCCTCTCAAACCCGTCCCACTGCATTTGGCCTTCCGTGCCATGCACACCTCTGCAGCTCACCCCAGCGCCCCCACAAGCCCCTGCAACCTCGAGTTTCAGTGCCAACAGGCACCTGCCCTCCAGGAACCAGGTATCCTGAGGATGCTGGTAACGAGAGAGCACCGAACGCTGGTCTGAGGATGCTGAAGCCCCCAGAGCACAGCTGCATCACTCCTCACAGGTTCCCCGGCCACCAGGACTCAGATCCCGTTCCCCTTAAGTGTTCAGTGAGGAGCTGTGCACTGAGTCACAGTTGGCGGGCTGTCTCCCTGGTGTCCGTGCCCTGACCCTGTGCCTACAGGGTTTTTATTATTTGAGTGGCACTTTTATACTTTGCAAATCACTTTTATACCCATGACTTCATGAAATCTTACAGCCGTCCCGGAAGTGGACGGGCAGACAGGGTGATTAATGGTGAGCAAACTGAGGCGGGGAGAGGTCAGACCTCAGCCGCAAGGTGCTCACTGGGTGGTGCCGTGGACAGGGTCTCAGCGCCAGCCTGAAGTCACCCCAGCTTCGCAGGATCAACAGAATCCACAGGCAGCATGTATTGGAGCGCGGACAGTGCCAAGAGAGGCTTGGCTGAAGAGCAGAAGACACAGAGCCTCCCCAGCAAGGCAGCTTCAGGGATGAAAGCGGCTCTGAAACATGCGCTAGGTCATTGTGCTTGTTCTCACGGCATGCTGCATGCTCTGGTGCAAAGGCCTAATTACCCTAACGCGGCCTTTAGCTCCCACCTGGCAGAGGCGATGCCCGATGTTACAAAGTCACATCTCTGGCCACGGGCCCACTAGGCCCAGTCACAGGCCTAACACAAGTCAAACACAGCAGCGGCTCTTGCCAGGTGGCATCCCCCCCATGTCCAAGGACATCAGAGCCGAGGTGACCTGAGACATCTTGAGGGCAGGGCAGTGGGGCAGAGAGCCCCCCTCTCAGGGCTGGGGGCCAGCTCCCAGGGGACCAGACAGAGCAGAGGGGTGGACTGCCAGCCTCACACAGACGTCAGCTCCCCCGCGGACTCGGAGCCCGTGGCGGGAACTCGCTGCAAACCTACCCGGCTGAAAGGAAATCATTCATTTGCCTGGAGAACAAGATGTACCCAGAAACTCATCCAACTTCTCGCCGCCACCACCAGGAAAAACACACAGCGAGGAGCTGGACGACGCAGCTAACCATTGCTCAAACCTGCGGCCGGAGCAGGCACCAGCCTGCCCAAATTCCTCCCACCCGCCCGCCCGCCAGGAGCGGCCAGGAAAACACAAAGGGATGTGGAGAGTTCAAAGGCTGAAGAGCTGGTTGTGTCGTTATCACCAGCACGGATGCTAACGACTGCGAGCGTCCACTAGAGAGCTGACCTGAGGCTCCTTTCCATCTGCATCAGCCACGGCGGGTGAGGAGACTTCCTGGAAGTAGGGTCCCAGGGCTCAGTGTGTGTCCTGCACATGTGCACACTCATACAGCGCACACATGCACGCCTATGCAGGTGCACACACGCACGCACACACACACCTGTCTCTCTAATAAGCAACCTGCTGGGAGGAGAGGCCATGAAGACAAACCTCTGCGGAAACCATCCTGACGAAGACTCTGCTCCCTGTTCTGTCAGCTTCCACGGCTCCTCTTCTCACGTCGACCTCCTCAGAAACAGCACCCTCATAAAACTTCATTAAGACATGGTGCCCAGAGTCTTTTAAGTGAAAAACAACCCTGCCATGACTGAGGGGGAGTGGACACAGACCCTGACTGAATAGAGTTGAGACCCACCCCCTGGCCACGTGGGGCTCCTGGGAGTGGATGGAGGGTGTTCCCCACCACACAGGGCTCCCAGGAGTGGACGGAGGGGTCACCCCCAGCAGCATGTTATGGAGACCCCCCACTTGGTGAAGGGCTCTGAGCTTCTGTGCTTCACTCTTCCTTTCTGTGTGGAGATGTAAGCGAAATTCCAGCAGCTGTGGAGTCCAAGGACCTGGTTCTTAGCTCAGGAACTTGAGAAAATCTGCAGAACTCGAAAAGGCTCTGAAAGTACAGCAATTAAAAAAAAAAAACCACACAGCAAAAAATTTAAATAACAGTCCAAATATTAACAACAAGCACGTTGGCAGGGCTTTGCACCAGCTGAGGTAGAAGACAGCTGTCACGGCCCTTTCCTGCAGACAGCAGGACGACACAATCAGAAAGGATCTCGAGCAGTGCTTCCACACGTGTCACGGTCCTAAGACGTCACCAGCTGTCGTCTGGGGTTGGGAGAGCAGGGCCCAGCTTCAAGCTGCTGCTACCCGCGGGCCTGATGGGAAAGAGACAGGTCCCGTCATCACCTGTTTCTGCAGGTAAGGAGCCTGAGGTCAGATCCAGCAGATAAACATCACAGCAGGACAACTCCCCCTCAGCCCCCCGAAACAGCTTGTGGTTTGACTCAGCCCAGCATCTGCACCAAGCAGCCCCAGGATAGTGGCCTCGGTCTGGACACAGTTGGAAGACAGGCTACTGGCTGAGTCTTGGGTCTTCACCTATCACACCTCCCACAGGGTGGCCCCATCAGTCACCCCAGCCTCGGCCCCTGCCCAGCAGCACACTGCACCCAGGGGCAGGGTGTGGGTGAGGGATCCTGCTGTCCTGGGGGAGGGGAGGGTAGGGGGATGCTCCCTTGCAGAGAACAGCCCCCCTCAGCCACACCTGCAGGGCCAGCCCTGGGCTCCCCCAGCATCTTCTGAACAAACCCCGAGCAGATGTGACAGCTTCCACAGCAGGACAGCCACGGTGGGACCTGGAGGAGGACAGACTGAAAGTCTCCCCCACCCCCAGCCCACTCTGGGGCCCCGGCCATGGTCCTGCTGTGGACCCGACGTCAGCTTTCCTGTGTGGACACCCACAGGGGCAGCTGGGTGATGAGGTGACAGGTACTGATTGTGGAAGCAGCCTCTCACCCATCAGCAGAGAGAAGCATGGCTCACTCGTACAGTGGATGTGATCCAGCCGCCGCATGCACAAGCCAGTCTGCAGCCTAGGAAGACTGGCCTGAGCTGCCAGGATTCTTCTGAGGGAAGAGTCAGTGATGCCCTGGTTTGTGTGTCCTTAGCACAGTGCCTGCATTAGCTCTTATCTGCGTCACCACTGACTTTATCAGCATATCGTGTCCTGATGCATTTTCTCTGCTGTTTCAGTTCCTTGCATGCTGTTCCTATTCCTTTATGTTGTTTCCATGGTGGTGGTTGTTTAGTCGCAAAGCTGTGTCTGACTCTTTGTGACCCTATGGACTATAACCCGCAAGGCCCCTCTGCCCATGAGATTCTCCAGGCAAGAATACTGGAATGGGTTGCCATTTCCTTCTCCAGGGGATCTTCCTGACCCTAGGATCAAACTCGCGTCTCGTGCATTGGCAGCTGGGTTCTTTACCATTAGTACCACCTTTATGTTGTTTTCATGGGGAGGCTGCTAATTCTATGTTTGACCCAAGTTTAAGTCATCAAACTTTCTCTTTTAGTCCCACTGAAAAACAACAGTCATCAAATGAAGTGTGTTGAAACGTGGCCACCACCCAGCTAGATGACTCTGCAGGGCTGC